AACCTGATGCCTGATGGAGGGATTCTGGAGTACGATGTTAGTGAATGTTATCCCTTGTATTTCTCTCCTCCCTTCAGCTTAGTCTTAATGTCGCCTAACATCGGCCCTCCTTTGAGTGTTCCTTTCTAGGGTCACGACTCCGCGATCAGTAATCATATATTCTAGCACTGAATAACAACATCTCGGTGAAAAACTCCTAGTTTTGTTGTTTTAATTCGCTCTGGTGATAATTATGACATCTTGATGAAGACTCGCTCCCATCTTCTTGTCCTAAAATCTCTTCACCGACATCGCTGCTTTCAAATCTCCGTTTCTAACCACCAGCCCGGGCGAGCCAAAAGTTTCGCACCCGGTTGACTCATTAGTGAAAAAAAAGCGCGATAAAACATCCTAAGAAACTTGGATTTCTTCGAGAGGCTTATCTGGGAGACAATGTAGGCCGAGACGAAAGCACAAGTGATGAAAACATTAGCGTGCGGTCTGGTTTGGGATTTCATGGTAGCAAGCCCCAAAAATCTAGGGTCATTGATTTTTGCCCCGATTGAGACTACATCTGTACTAGTGGATTCAAACATCGGCTTTTGAACTGAATAGCAGTATGTTTCCCGAAGGAAGGATTTGGAACTGCCTGAATCGAGAAAAAACGAGAAGTATTCCGTGACGATTGCCAACAGCCGTTTGCGGAGAGTGTACTTCATTTTTCTCCATTAGAATTCATGAAAAAATAAACGGATTTATACCTAAGATGTAGATGATGCCGTGAACGAGGCAAATCATCCAAGATATCCCCAGCATTCGTTTTGTTCGTCGTGATGAGAAGGTGGTGCTAGAAGGAAGTAAAACAAATTTTCATAGAAGGGCAGCATAACGAATACTGTGGGAAATCAACACCCCTTCGGTTTCATGATACTTGCAGTTTTGTGGGAGTAAGCGATAGGTATGACTTGCATATCTCAAACTTCTTCAAAATCGGGATAAACTGTGCAATACTCAGAAAGAAGAGCCACAAGCGACTGGTAACCTACTTGTATA